ATACCATGAAAATTACATATATAAATCTCCTACTTTTATTGTACATTCTCTGAAACTTTTAAAAAATTCGTCTGCATTATTTTTGCGTTATTAAATCCCGAATATCGTTGTCGTAATATTCTATAGGGAAAAGATCTTTTTTTTTTTTTTTTTACTCGTTTTCAGGAAAGTTTTCTTTTCGAAAAATCTCAGTAACGAAATTGTTTCTCTTTTGGTCACTTCATACAGAGATGATTTCAGTTCTGTGTAAAAAAATTTCACATCTCAGAAAAAAAAATATGTATCCGACTTAGTTTTCTCGCAATTTCAAAGCAAATAATTGCTTTTACATTGCAAAATGTAACACTTTTAAGAATGACGCTATGAACTATCACGACGTCAAGGTTGATGTGAATACAGTCCAGTATAAAATGCAAAAAAAAAAAGGAAGCAAGAAATTTATTTTTATATAATTATCTAACGTAAAATTTATATTTAAAATAAGCACAGATGTATGAGTTATGAACCTGGGAATTTTTCAATTGTGATATACACGTATTTTTAAAATTTCCTTTATTCAAAAATAAAGTTAAAACTTTTGATAGAACAGCTGTAGTTTAGGGATTGTTTATATATTGACGGTTTATCCGTGTAACAAACTTAATTAAAAAACGTCAAAGGAAAAAAATAAACCATGCAGTTGCCACTTGTTTAGTGATACTGTTGTGGTCTCAAAGTGATGATAAAATAAACGCTTTCTAACGCACTCGATTTTCGAATATTATAAAAAATCGTTTGAAAAAATTTCTATCTGTTGTCTTGAAGAGATTTTTCAAAATTCTTTTTATTAATAGCTTATTTTTATGCTTTTATTTTACTCTTTGTGACGTTTTACAAGAAAAGACGTCCAAATCATATAGATTGCGAACTCAGTTATAACGTCAGTAAACCCGCAACCTATATTAATCTTTTAAAATTCTACTAGTAGGTTACCAAAAAAAAAAAAAAAAAAAAAAAAAAAAAAAAAATCGATGAATTGCATTGAATATTTTTTATTGACAAAAAGTCAAAAGGATTAGACACAAGTTCAAAAACTTATATATTCCTCTCCTAATATAACATTTTGTAAAAATGCCAAAATAGAATACATATATAAAATACATATTAGTAATAGAAAGAAAATACGAATTTTTTTAATGTACAAAATATATTTGCATGTACATTGGTAAAATAATATAAGTATTGTCACTTGTCCAACATGCTGTTCTAAGAATTGTAGCGACAGACACCTTAGCTTTTGCTGCAGCACTAGTTGCTGCTGATCGTGTACTAACTAGCCACAATGCTCAGATGAGCGATGTGCCGCCCCCCCCCCCCAAAAAAAACCATAAGGTTCAAGTGATGATACATAAGTCCTGAAAGTTTCACGAAAATCCACCGAGCCGTTTTCGAGAAATCGCGTGCACAAAATCCGTAAGAAAAAAAAAACAATAAAAGTGAACAAGAAACCTAAAATTAAAAGCTTTTTTTTTTTTTTGAAAAAACAACCACATTCACAGCATGAAGTTATCTCCCCCTATCAGTCCAGGTGATATAAAAAGGTTCCAAGAGCGGAAAAGCCCGAATTATTTATAAATTCAAAAGCTGGAAAATCAAAAAAAAAAAAAAAAGAAAAAGAAAAAAAGAAAAAGAAAAGGATCTTCCGGGCAAAATCCGAGTTAAAAAATCAAAGCAACAAAAGTAAAATGTTTATTTCTGATGATCGCACCCACTCTCGACAACAAATCATAACAAGCACTATCCAAGGCACGTTACTACAAAAAAAAAAAACTCATATTGGACCAACGATGTTAAGGACACTGTGAATTCGCCAAAAATCTTAATAAATCACCTCAGTTACATTACTTGCTTCCTTCCAGAAAATGATCACGACAATGATATAGCTGCAGATCTGAAAAAAAAATTGGGATGGACAACCAGAGAGCTACACTGCCAAACGTTGAAAAAAGTGTATATTTATTGCGCACAAAAAAATAAATAGTAAAGTATTTTCCCTAAAATATCAGAAAATACTTTTAAAAGAAAAAACAAAGCAGCAATGTTTATTCTTTAAATTCAAAGTATGGTTTTAAAGTGATTTACATACACATCGTTTAATTTTCTCAACAATGAAAGCATAGTATCAATACGTGAATATATGCGTTCAACACAGACTTCTTCTCCTGTGTATGTTACAAAATCATAAAAGGGTGCCCCATTTACCAGAAACTGACCTTGGACTTGAACCAGTAATAATGTGATCTTTTTAATGTGTATTTGGAGCCAGAAATTTCTAGGAAAAAATTGTTATTCACAGGCTTCTTTAAGAGTACAATCCCTTACTGAATATGGACATTTGATTTCAAGAATACCTGTTACAGATTGTTCACAGACGTTGGAATCAGGTGATGCACCAAAAAAGGGGAAAAGGGGATTTAGCCTAACATCATGTATATGGTTCCCAGAACTGTTTTTTCGTTAGATTATCAATATGATGTTGGAGCAGATTTAAACAATTTTTTGTCAAATGTATTGTTAATGAAGTTTCATTTATCTCCTTTTTTCTATTCATGATCAGTCCAAAATTTGAAGTAGTGATTTGCCCTTTCCTTTCAAGCAAACCATATTGCACTGTTGCTCTGGTCTTTGGTGCTCCGCTCGATATCTGCACACTTTTCAAAGGATCTATATACAAAGGACGACAAGGTATGGTAACGGCCGAATCTGGCCCCTTATTTGATGTAAAGATCAGAACACAGTTAAAATTGTGATAGTTTGAAGTTGAGAAATTAAAGTGATGCTTCTTTTAAAACCAGCACTAATTTTGATTCAAAGCTTACACGGAGGCCATAAAAGGGTGCAGAAGTAGGACAATTTCCCGAATTTCCTCAATTCTGGTGGAATTTCGTCAAATTTGAGATACTTTTCACTTCAGGAAACATAGAGCACGAGCTTGCCTGAGATTTTTATACATAAGATGCATCTGATACTAGTGTGTGAAATATATAAATTTGATAGATAGGCAAGCTTGTGCTCTATGTTTTCTGAAACAAGATGTGCTGTAAAATCAATGAAAATTTGCATAAAAATGAGAAAACTCGGAAATTAACATATTTTCTGACCTTCCTGTGACCTCTGTGTATCCCATAACTTAGAACTAATACTTATTTTGTGACAGGGGTGACAACAGGTTTTTATTGATAAACTGTTGCATCTTTCTAAAAGACACCCCAAACCAGGGGCCAAAAAGGGGTCTTAGCCTATCTTGACCTTTGCAATTTATTTATTAAACCATGTTCTTTTATTTCAGTGAGCAACAGCCTTGATATATTGGCTATGGCTGCTGAGAAGAGGAAGTTGTAGGCAACTATACTGTCCCTTAAAGAGGAAAACATCATGTGAAAATAGAAAATTAGTAGATGATTTACATAAACAATGTAATATGAGATTTGATAACTTGAAAACAAATGAATTTAAATCATATAGCAACATTTAATGTTATAAACCAGTTTTTAGTTCCAGCAGATAAGCATCAGTTGAAGAAATTTCAGTATGAAGGCTCAATTGTTATTTGTTTTAAAGACCCAATTTTTGTAATGTACGGTAACCTGAAGAGAGGGTTGGTCTTAGTTGTACTGGTGTTATTTACCTGGAGAACCCCAATACTCAAGATGTCAAAAATACCTATACAAATTGTAGTACACAGGAAGTCTGTCTTTGGTGATCAGGATGAACATTACGCGTTTTTCTCTAATTTTGAGAAACACTATTGTAAAAAAATTTTATATTTGATATAAAATTGGTTAACTTAACGTTTTCATCGATATCCTTTGAAGGAAAAAAATATTTAGAAATATCTTCTTTTATTAAGAAAAAAGTAAAATGAAAATAAAATCACGAGTGAACAATATAAAGCAATCATATCAGTATTTTTTAATCGTCTGTAAAATAAATCAGCATTCAATAAGTGTAAATATTGAAATAAAGAGATTTCATTTATCGTGTGGACAATTCGACATGTGCCATAACCAGAATATTATTTATTTTTCTGGCCAACAATCGTGTCCAAAGTATTCACCACTGTAATTTCCAGGATCCATATTGTTATGCCCTGTTCACAGATTTGTATTGTTTGTAGACTTTTTTTTAAAAAGATCGATCACTGTTCGTTATATTCAACATTTTTAATATACGAATAATTAAATATGTTAGAGGAAATTCGAACAATGTAACATTTCTTTCACCGAATGGAGTAAATTGATTTGTATTTTATAATCTGTTTGACTTTAATAACAAATTTTGCTAAAAATAGAACCTCGAATATCCGCCATAGTTTTTCTTCGGAAAGTTCTACAAATGAGTTTTCTTAGACGTCTTATCGCTTACTAGTTCGAAACAACAATGGAGATTGAAAAAAGAAATCATAAAGTCAATGTTTAATTGTCTACTCTCAATTATTTTTTGAAATTTAATTACCAAACATTATTACAGCGATTTGATTTTTTTTTTTTACCAGAGTGTATACATACAAAGCGACCATGCGGTACATGAAAGCGTTTTACGCGTGAACAGATAATTGTTTCCGAAACATGCAAACTCAGATTATAAGGAAGCACAGGTAGCTGGCCTGTCAATCAAATCTGTTTTTTTAATGATTGACAGGCGGTATATTATTGATCTCAAATTAGTCAATTTCTTCTCCCCAATTGGGGCCTCTGTATCAAATGAGATGATAAGGTTACCGCGTGGTTCATAGATAAGTTAGCGTGGTACAGAGCCAGACGTGTAAAATTTGTGACAAGGATTCGAGTTTTTTGTTTTTTTTCCATGGAATATAAATATATATTATTTTTGTTATCTGTCATTGAAAAAGTGTGTCATTTCATGACATTATAGCGTATTGAACGCTGTCTTTGCGTATTGAACGCTGGTTTTGCGTATTGAACGCAGCAAGTTTTTATGCGTATTGAACGCAATTAACTATGAGTACTAACTCTGAAAACACAACTTCACCTGTCCTGACTACGGGAGAAAAAGAAGGAGGAAGTGTAGAAATGGACAATTCCTCCATGTTGTCAATGCTAAAGGACATGCAGAATAGCATCGTCTCACTAACATCCTCAGTGTCGTCCCTACAGCAAAGAGGGAAAAAGCGCAAAGCAGAAACTGAAAGTAATCAGCCTGGACCGTCTAAGGCAAAAGATTTAAGTGACATTTCTTCTGACGAAGAAGACGTTGCCAAAGATGGATTTTCAGATCTAATTGATGACCAAGATGTGGAGGAAGAGTTTGATAACGACTCCATGTTAGACGAGTTGGCTGAATGTTTCGGGTCAGAAGAAAAATGTGGAGAGCCTATACATGAAAAACTGGCTAAAGTCACTAATGAGGGAGTTAGAGCAACTTTGAATGGGGAAAAAATAAAAGAAGTAAGTAAAAAATACAACAGGCCAAAGAATGTGCAGAACTTAGTTACACCAAAAATTAACGAAGAAATTCGTGTGCACCTAGGCCGCAAAATCCGCAATCAAGACATGCGGTTTCAAAGAACACAAGCACTCGTTGCGAAAGCCATGGTGCCACAGCTCCAACAGATAAATATGCTGTTGAATTCAAAACAAAAGGGAAACACTCCTTCAGTTAAAGACTTGACAGTCTTGGCGATGGACGGCCTGAAATTAATGACATACGTCTACTGTGATTTATCCAATAGGAGACGCGAACTGATTATTCAGCCTGAAAAGAACGAGGAGTTCCGGGTACTTTGCTCCAGAGAACATCAGGTAACGGATAAACTGTTTGGGGATGAATTGGGGAAAAAGGTGGAGGAAATTGCCAAAGCGAACAAGGTCGGATCTAAGATATCAGGCCACAACAAACAGGAAAAACGGAATTTTCAAAGCCGGAAACCATATCAACAAGGGCAAAAATCTTTTTCCTACAGTCCAAACTACAGAACCCAGTCTTTTTTAGGACAACGAACGACTCAGAATTACAAGAAAAAAACGTTCAACAAACAGTCCAAGAAGTAATCCAGGACCAATCTGTGTCAAAAAATGTGAGTGAATTTCAAAATTCATCAATCAATTTTATTGCAGGAAAAATTTCAAATTATTTTGAAAATTGGAAATTGATAACAAGTGATTCAAAAATTTTAGAATATGTGAAGGGTTATTCTATTGAATTTGACGATATACCTTATCAGAAGTCGATACCTAAACAAATTCAATTCAGTGAGGGTGATACGACAATAATTGACAAAGAAATACATGAAATGTTATCGAAGGAAATAATAGAACTTGTTCCTAACTCTGACATCAATGACGATGAGTTTATTTCAAATATTTTCATTAGACTCAAAAAAAACGGGAACATTAGAATTATTCTGAACCTGAAATGTTTGAACGAATACGTTGAGTATCATCATTTTAAAATGGAAACACTAGAAGCTGCAATTAATCTGGTGACCAATGATTGTTTTTTCGCGTCAATTGACTTAAAAGATGCATACTACTCCTGCAATGTGTCCAGAAAAGACAGAAAGTATTTAAGATTTCTCTGGAGGGACAAAAAGTATCAGTTTACCTGCTTAGCCGTGGGCTTAGCATCCGCTCCTCGGATTTTTACAAAAATGTTAAAACCCGTTTTTTCTACATTACGAAAACGCGGACATGCGAATGTGGCTTACATCGATGACTCTCTACTCATAAGTAAAACGGAAATGGAATGCAGAGAAAATGTTAAAGAAACTTCAAACATTTTAGACAGTCTGGGTTTAACAATTAACTGTGAAAAATCTGTTTTTCGTCCTACAAAATCTATTCAATTTCTTGGATTTGTAATTAACTCGGAACTTATGACTGTATCTCTTACAGAAGATCGAGCTAATTCAATTAAGGAAAAGTGTCGAGAAACTCTTAATCGGCGTCAAGTGACGATAAGAGAATTCGCGCAACTAATTGGGAAATTAGTGTCAAGCGAACCAGGTGTCAGATTTGCACCTCTTTATTATAAATCGCTCGAAATTGAGAAAGATAAACAGTTAAAGCAAAATGCAGGAAATTTTGAAGCAAAGATTATTATATCAAGCTCTAATAGAGAAACTATTGCATGGTGGATTGACAATGTTGATTTGTGCCCTCGTTATATCAATCATGAGACACCTTTATTGACCATTAAGACAGATAGTTCCATGTCTGGATGGGGTGCTTTCAATGAAAATAATGGCGAGTGTCTTCAGGGGTTGTGGTCAACTGAAGAAAAAGAAAATTACTTAATTACTTGGAGCTTAAAGCTGGGCTCATTGCTATATCATCATTTTGTGAAGAAATACACAATTGTCATGTAAAACTTTTCATGGACAACACAGTTGCAGTCACATACATTTCTAAAATGGGGGGAAAAATCGAATCGTTAAACAATTTAGCAAAAACTATCTGGGAATTCTGCATATCTAGAAATATATGGCTTTCTGCGAGTCATATTGCGGGTGTAGATAATACAGAGGCAGATTTTCTATCACGTCAGAAAAATGGTGATTTAGAATGGATGTTAAATAAAGATGTTTTCAACAGAGTGCAACAAATATTTGGGAGATTCGACATTGACTTATTTGCCTCAAAGTTTAACTTTCAATTTAAACCTTATGTATCTTATATGCCCGATAAAGGTGCTCAAGTAATAGACGCGTTCAGCATGGATTGGAATAATATATTCTGCTATATATTCTGTCCTTTCAGCGTACTGGGACGTGCTCTGCAAAAGATTACGAGAGACGGGACAGAGGCAGTAATCATCGCCCCAATCTGGCCAACCCAACCTTGGTTCCCACTGCTTCTACAGATGGTGTGCGAGAACAGTTACATTCTCCCAAATTATCAGAATCTACTGACGCTGCCGAACGACCCTCAGAAACGCCACCCATTGAGGAAAATGCGGTTGGGGGCCTTCCGTGTGTCGGGAAATTTTTCGAAGATAAAGGCATATCAAAAGACACTCAAACAATATTACTCTCATCTTGGCGAGAATCGACAAAGAAACAATATCGGCCATATATCGAAAAGTGGGTGTTATTTTGTCATAAAAGAAAAATTAATATTTTTGAAACAAATGTAAACAATGTCTTAACATACTTGACCGATTTATACAATGCTGGTTTAGGATACAGTGGTCTAAATACTGCCCGTAGTGCGTTGTCATCTTTTTTGCAATTCGATAGCGAACAAAACATTGGCACTCACCCCCTTGTACGTAGATTTATGAAAGGTGTATTTGTACTTAGACCAACTTTACCTAGATATAATGTAACTTGGGATGTAAATATTGTTTTAAAGTACTTGAAATCAATGTCAACATTATCATCTTTATCATTATTGCAATTGTCGCATAAATTACTTATGTTATTAGCATTATTGTCGGGTCAGCGTGGTCAAACGCTGCATTTAATTGACATTAGGAACATTTATGTAAGCGAAGCTTGTGTTAAAATAACAATAGGAGATTTACTTAAATCATCAAATTCCAGAAAACATTTGGGAGAATTAAATTTGTCAAGTTATGAAATAGACTGTGATTTGTGTGTGGTGAAAACAATGGATCATTATCTTCAGCGGACAAAACCTTTGCGGGCCTCAGTTTCACGTTTATTCATTACATCACAAAGGCCATTCAAGCCAGTGTCCAGGGATACTATCGGACGTTGGTTGAAAACTGTTATGCAGAAATCTGGCATCGACATTAATCTGTTTAAACCGCACAGCACGAGATCAGCCTCTACCAGCGCTGCGTGTGCGCTAAGAATTCCTGTGGACACGATAATAAGAACAGTAGGCTGGACAAGTGACTCTGTTTTCCGCAAATATTATAACAAGCCTGTTAGCTTGAATGTAGATATGAGTGAAAAACTGTTGGATAATTATAAATGTCATTGATTGTATCTATAGTGACATGCATATACATGTAAATACTTATGTGGGAATGTTTATATAAAAATATGTGAAGAGAATTTAATATTTTTATTTTTTCTGTTCATAATCTTACATAAATACATGTACCATTTCACGAATACACAAATTCGGATTCTAGCTCTAAAGTCTCATTTGATACAGAGGCCCCAATTGGGGAGAAGAAATTTAAAGGTTAAACGAGACTTACCTGGAAAGTGAAGTTTGACTGTAATTTCTTCGACCCAATTGGGTGCCGAGGGATCAAATGCCCAACCCTATTAAGTTTAATTTTAGTAACTGTTTTATCCCACCCGTTGTCACATGTATATACGAATCAAAATTTTTGTGCTCTGAAGTATGAACCACGCGGTAACCTTATCATCTCATTTGATCCCTCGGCACCCAATTGGGTCGAAGAAATTACAGTCAAACTTCACCTTCCAGGTAAGTCTCGTTTAACCTTTAAATTTGGGGGCATTAACGAAAAATTGGGTGTTTAAGCTTTCACAACGAACGCATATATATAGTTCATAGGTGACGTATTAGACTTGCATGCAAACGTCTTTCCTTGGACTTGGTACATGTATAAATATATTCATAATTTCCCAGAACGTTTAACAGTTCTGTTAATAATGATGTGATATATTTGAACCTGCGATATAAAAGGAATGGTTATTTAAGGGGGTGCCCTGTCCATCTCATTATGGTTTACACAGACAAACGAGTTTCTTGTAACTCAGTGATGGCATCTCTGTCTGTGTTTGACAAAACACAATTTTCTTCTATTTCTTTATTCAAAGTCGCAGTAGGTATGTCGGAATCTGAATCGTACCCGCTTACATGTACTTCTCCCCCTGTGTACATAACAACCATGGTAACAGAAAGTTAAATAATTAAAACGAAAGTTTCCTGATTTGTTTTTTTGTATTATTTTAAAATATCCCAATGTATTTTTTATTATTTCATTTTCATGTTCCCATACATTTATTTTATATTTGAAAAAAGGAAAACAAAAATATCGCGTCATTTCCATGCAGTTTGTGCAGCTAACAAAAATATATCCTTCATCGACAAGAAAAATTAGGACATAATGGTATTCCCTGTGATTTCCATTATAATTATGGATGCTTTTGATATATTTTTTCACTGTGACAGTTTTTTTTTTTTCATCCTTTAATCATAAAAAGGCTAACTGCGTTATCTATCCTGTCGCGTTCATAAAATGCACAAGTTTTTCTTTTCAAAGTACATTTAAAAAACTAGACTAAGTACTCGAAAAAAGATTTATATGCTTGTATTATTTTTTTTTAAAATAAATCCGAAGATTAAGAAAATGGTAACGCAATACTTAATTATTTGATTAATTATTCCTGCTACATGTAGAGACAATTTACTCTTTTTTGGACTGGCAGAGTACCGTGGAAATGGCAAGGAGAACTGTACAAACCTCATTAATGAATTCTGTGAAGCGGAACTGAATATATTTGGAATAAAGGCGAACATTGAGCGTGCCCATAGGATCGGAAGATATCTCAACAACAAAACAAGACCTATTGTTGTTAAATTCTCCAACTTCAGGATCAGGGAAAGTGTCAGGACATCTGCATACAAACTTAATCAAAGTACTGAAAGTACTGAAAGCAGGGCTTTAATTATTCGAATTTATAATCTAATCCGAAATTGGTACACATTTAAAAATCTTTCTTTCTGGCCATTGATATTTTACAGGTAGAGTCTGTATGAATATGATTAACAATAACCCATCTACCAATATTAAAATTAACGGTCCAGAACCCAACGGTTTAGACCCAAGATAGGACTTAGTTGGTCATATTTTTAATGAAAATACATTTGCAATGTATACCTTTCTGAAAATTAAGCTCACAATGGGTATACATGGTGACAGAGGTTTTGCTGATTAATACAGGCACATAGTATTGGGGGGAGCTATGGGCGTCACCATTTTTCAAACATAAACTTTTACAACGGAAAATGAACATTGAAAGGTTGATTGACTCTTTGCAATCGAATTTAAATTAGATTTCTTATCTCACTCTTCGTAAATTTACCGGGTATTTGTCACGAGCGACTGACAGGTTTACTAAAAGCAAAATGGATGGTCTATCTTTAATTAGATTGTACCCTTCATTTTGCGGTAGCATATTAAAATTACGGTAATTTGGTAATGTATTAATAAAATTCGAAATGTGAACGTAAGTTGGAACCCAACCCTACCCCTTGTCGCAAGGAATAGGGCAGTTTTCCTTTTTTTTCTTCTTTAAAAACGATCTACATGCCTGTATTTATCAGTGAAAAATATTCTTTATTTCTGGACCTCTAGGAAACCAGCTGCACGGAATTGATAATTATCTATTTTTTATGACATGAATACAAGTATGAGTCTAGTTCTAGTTCCAGGTTTGGCCAAAATGGTCATTGCCTGAGAAAATCATGATATATTCATGTCTTTATGGCTTGTTCATAGTGGGCTCTTCATTCTAAACAGGAAATTTTGAAGCAAAGACTAACCAACGATTTCTAAAAATATTGTGTTATACTTAGATAAAGACTAATGAACATTTTTATAGGTTTTATTTTTTTTAATTATTTATTTACATGAACGATTCTTTTATTTCCCAGCACAATTGAGAGCTTGTATGTGTTTTTAGACACTTTTTATTGAAAAGCACGCGCACGCTCAATATACTGTTAAGTGCTCTGGGAGCACATGCGAGATAAATCCAAGTGGAGAAGTCTCCAACAAAATTTTCACAAAACAAAGCATGGAGCTTTCGTTAAAAATTTTATCAGAATTTGTAAGCAAAGAAATTTTCAATGCTAAATTGATTGACCATTTATGGATATAAATAATCAATATGTACATACACATATTCACATGAAATTTCTATATTTACATTTTTATTTATTTCATATTACATGCATGCTCACAGAATATAAATCGTTAACCCAGTCATCTAAATTAAAAGTTTTTAATAAAAATATTAACCAAATGGAACTGCTTTGTGAACTTTATTTAAATCACCTTTACACAAGATATTAACCATCATAACGATTTTTGTACGAAATTATATTTAAAAGGAGAAAGTTATGTTAATTGCATTCAGAGTTATTGAAGCAAAACCGTATTTTCAAACCCTTTTCTTTAAACACATTCAAATTTTAACTTATTTGAGTAATATATTGAAAACACTGCCAGTATTACAACTGTAAGAATAATCCTGGGAATATTTACATACAAACATCATTATAATTCTAACATAGGAAAATATTTTTTTTTTTAATTCCAATCTTTTAAAAATGTTCAAATCTAAGGAAATTCAACGTTTAGGCCTCTCCATAAAAATCTGAATTCAAAAATGAACAAGTCCAAGATTGCTCTTAATATATATCGAAATGGTTAAATGCAAGTAAATTAATTTTTGCTGCTCTTTTTTTTAAAGTGTCAGCTTTTTAAAAAGACAACTCATTCATAAGATTTAATTTACATGTTAAGAAATAATTTCATGGTAGACTTTGAAAATAAAATTTCTCTGAATTTCTTTTTAATTTAAATGTTTTAACTGAACTTTCTTACATGATCATTGTCAAGAATTTCAAAATACTAGGTAATCATTTAACATACATGTGCAGATATTTTATGATTTTAAAATTTAATAAATTATACATGTATTTCCAAGGATTTCTCGCATATTTTCTATTCAATAAGAATTTTTTCTCATAACTTATAATTGACCCAGCAATTCAGTCTTAGAATAGTTAAAGTAATGCACATATTTTTAGAGATATTCTTTTAGTTTCAAACAAACAGTACTTTTATCGCCAACTACATGTAGATACACTGATACATTGAAAAGCGACTTCAGGCATAACTCATATTAATTCTTCAAATTCCAATTCACTTATCTATTATTTTGCTAAAAAATAAAACAGAGAATAAAAAATACAATCTACAGTGTACGGGAACAATTCCCTAGAGAAATTGTCGAGAGGCGGAAAGCCTTATTGCCCGTTCTGCAGATGGCGTTAGGACAAAACAAAAGAGCAGTGATGAAATACGACAAACTTTACATCGATGGTGAACTGTACAAAGGAGAGATGGGGGAGACTGGCAGAGATGAACACGAGGATGACGAGCCCGTGGAAACACTAACGCAGGGTGCTGGAAATTGGGGAGATGAGGCCTAGGGACAATTGGAGAATGATTTTGTGAAAATTATCAGCTGGAACATAAACGGAGGGTTTTCTTCTAAATTCAGTGATAAAAATTTTCGATACTATATTGTAATATGTGAGACCTTCATGTGCTAACTCTTTATATTGTTTACAATTAATTTATTCTGGATGGGAATTTACTATAATCATAGTACATGATTCTAAAGTGATTTATTAAGCTTAAACAGCATTTATTATGTCTTATTTTAACTCGGATTTGTTTTACAATACCTGCAGTATTACCGTTCGTGTTTTGACAACTTCCCCCATTTTCGATCATTTGTTTACAAATTTTATTCTCTAAATTTCTTCGTAAATACGGTAAAACAATCGTTTTAATTAAACTGCAGCTGTTTATAATTACCAGTTGTTGATGCAAGTTCAGTACCAGCGTATTCCTTTACCTTCATCTATGTGAAATCGTCATTTTACCGCTCGCGAACTTCTTGTGTACTTTACCATGCGTTTCTCTCGTCTGACTGACCGCTTCACTACTCATCTTGTCACTTGTGATTCTGCTGCCTGATTTTTCATTATTCAACCATGTTGTACATTATTTTTATCTTGAATTATTGTAATATGATGCTGACCACTATGATGGTGAACTATTGTCTTATTTTATCGATCTCATCGGCGCACTATATTGTGAAGTCATACTTCCGTATTTACATATATCGCTGCGCGCACTACTTTAGAAGGCGCCTAGATTCGAAT